CGACGAGTTGTATAAGAAATAAAGAAGAGGGGATAGTGAACTGCTTATTTCGAGTCAGAAACTAGTAGCTTATTATTTATTATACGAGCCACTACTGTAATACATAACTTTAAAATTACAAAAAAGATAGAAAAACGCGTTTAGCTTTAAGATCAAATAGCAGACATTTTTGGTAAGAACTTTGGGATTGTTTGACAATGAGTACTGAACTTTAAAACTACGTGTAACAAATGAAAGACATTACTTATCGCGTTCTTCTCCTATACTCTTCATTTATCATTATTTTTGGAATATACTTGCAATTGGAAAAGTAATTATTATATCGTTCTTGAAAATCAATTAAATTCGTACCTCTAAATTGACAATTACAAAATCAATGCTACAGGTTTCTAAACAACCATCAGTAAAAGACTATGTAAACTGATATAATCTTCCATCTTCATCCTTTTAATTAAAATTTGGCACTTTGTTTAACAATTTATAATCGCCAAGTATATTTTGTAAAATTTGTAAAACGATCTTATACAATAATAATTATATAATAAATCTTTCAATCCTTTGTCATCAGCTTGTAGGATCAACTTATATTATAAATTATTAAACGATATTATTTTACTTATAAGTATCCTTAAGATTAATTCGCACTTGAACAATACTTGGATATTAAACTGTTTACTTTCGCTTTAACATTAACGCTAAAACATAACATTTAACTAAAACAAAATAAAATGGTCGACTGTTGATTTTTGAGATATATGAAGGTTCTGCTAATAATAATACATTTGTATTGGAATAAAATAAAAAGTCATATAAAAAAGGAACGATATTAATTCAATATATTTTATAGAATGTCAAAAAACTATGTTTATCCTTTCATTATTTACAATGCAGTACTAGTGAAAAAATATAATTCTGATTGAAAACAATTATCAATGAAAATCTTTTTCTTGTAATACTAATTTCCGACATATTTCACTTTGTTTGTGAAATAAATTTAGGTATATTATAGGTAAATAATATTTTTTAAAATGTTAAAAAAGAGCTTTTTTAACATATTTCACAAAATTATGAAATAGACGAATATAATCAACAATTATGACAAAAGCATAAATTCAAGTATATATCAAATATATATTTATTGTGACTGCACAGTGGCAGACAAAAGTTTAAGACAATTATTCCCGGACAATTATACCGGATTACAAACATCTTATACGCATATTGTTCTTCTATTCGGTTTGTCTCTTTCGAATAACATAGCTGTCTGTTTGACCTCCGTAACCTCAGACGGTCAGTTAAATATAAACAATGTAGGAGTTGCAACAGTTAGTTACCGCTTAGCACTCGTAAACAGTGGACATTAGTTTAAGACAGTCTGTGTAAAACGTAAATATGAGTAAATGAGTAAATGTCAGAATCATTGTTTAGTGCACCTTTTATTGCTTAAAATTCATTTAGGTAGAAATAGACTATGGGTAAATGAAAAAATTTCGTTGAAAAAAGTTGAAAGGGAAGAAATCGTAAGGCTGCGAAATCAAAGCAAAACCTTCGCTGAAATAGCAAATATAGCGAACAGGTCAAAAACGGCTTTTAAGCACGCTTGGTATAAATTCTTAAAGGCAGGCATGTATCGCGATCAACCGAAAAATGGAAGACTACGAAAACGCAACGCCGAAAATGGATGGCCGGATTCATCGATTGAGCGAAAAGGATCGTTTTCGTAGTGCAATTAATATTGCTGCGGAGATAAATTATAAAAACGATACACAAATTAATGCTAGAACTGCTAGGAGAAGATTAGAAGGCTTTAACTTAAGGGGATGAAAACCCCGAAAGAAACCACTGCTGAGTTGTAGGAATCGAAAAAGACGACTTGCATTTGCTAAAGCTCATAAGCATTGGACAAGTGAAGATTGGCAAAAGGTGTTGTTTTCAGACGAATCGAAATTCAATCGCGTCTCTTCTGACGGGATACGGTATGTTAGACGTCGAATTGACGAAAGTTTGAAAACACAGTGCGTTTTAAAAATTCTTAAACATGATGGTGGGAACGTTGTGGGGTGGGCGTGTCTTTCTTGAGGCGATCCTGGTCCGATATGTCGTATCGATGGAATTGTGGCGGCACTCGATCACGGAACTTTCCAACGGCTTCGCGACACAAAGCGCTATACCTTCAAAGCGTATATCCCTACGGTTCTTTCGTCGAATATTCCGAAGAATGCATACGCGGCAACCGTCGCGGACATCTAATAAACGCGTGTGTAGTGGGGATATAGAGGAGCAACAAAGAAAAGAATCCGTTTGGTTTCGAACAAAAGATTCAGTCTGCCCCCAGCTGCGAAGTACGAAAGCGTCATAGCGAAGCAAACACAATTCGAGATACGTGATTATTAACTCTTAATTAAGTTAATAATTAGTCGTTAATTGTTAATCGTAAATTGTTGACTGTTGAGTGTTAATAGTTTAATAAACCTTTTTGTTGAACATTAGGAGTATTTCTTGTGGGCACCTTCACCAACAATCGCCTAAGAATTATGGACCGTTTTCAATACATGGACATACTCAAGAACACAATGTTTGTTGAAGAAAATATTAGGTTTGTATGATCACTGGTTGCTACATGCAAAGTTGGTGCAACTTCTAACGACGTTCTTTTGCTTTTTGGCGTCCGCCACGCGTTAATTATCTGAATGTATCCAGTGTGTTCATATGGCTGTACATGGTGGTAAAATACAGAATACAAAAACCGAATCTGTGTGAATCAATTAAATATCAAACTCCAAGACCTATTTAATAACAATGTTGCCTTTTGCACGCAATAATATGCGTGATGATTTTATTTTTCAAAATGACAATGATCCGAAGCACACGGCTCGGGTTGTGAAACAGTGTTTTGGAGAAGAAAATATTACCGTGTTGCCGTGGTCGTCGCAATCACCAGACATTAATTCAATCGAGAATTGTGGAGCATCATAAAAAAGACAGTACAAGGTTATAAACCGAGAAATTTAAATGAACTTTACAATTGAAACAGCTTGTAGTAATATTACGGTAGATCAATGTAAAAAATTAATAGATGCTATGCCAGCAAGATGTACCGAAGTGATAAGAAATAACGGATATTGGAAAAAATATTGAATTTAAACAAAAATTGTTTATATTTTCTTACCAAAAATTAATATTTTTTGTGTAGTCTTAAACTTCTGACCGACGAAATATACAGATATCGCTGTCTTTTTATAACTTGGCTACTGAGCAAAATATCAAAATGGAATTTTTTTTGTAAGTATACAAACAAATGTCTAATTAGTCAAAAGTAGAACACTGTATTTATATTTTTTATGGAAAGTAAATCAATTATCTATTTCTCCATTTCCTCTTAATCTTTTGTTCGTTACTGTATGTTAGGACAGTCCTTTTTTCTACTTTTCGTTTTGAAGCTTTTTAGATTTCTCCTACCATCCCTTAAATTCCACTTTGTAAAAAAATGATACAAGTTAAGTCAAATAAGTCCTAAAGTTCCTCAGTTTTCGACCCTTTGCACTCGACGGCCTTTTCCGTCGGGTGTAGCAGTAACTCGAGGTAAATTTGCGCGTATGTGACGAGTGTCTTGGTTAGGTAGGTGGTTAAGTGGCCTTTCGTTCTTTTGCTTTTTTAAAGAATATATGAATTAATTCAACAAATTCCCAAATCCGTTCTTTTTGAGCTTCTAAATTTACAAAACTATAATACTTCTGCCACGATCGTCAAATCTGAACCAACGTCGGAGACGTTACTAATAGAACCATGGTTTTGGAAGAATTTGAGCATAAATATTTCATCTTCGTTTTAATGCGTAACATTTCACACTTCGTAACAAACAATATAAAGAGCTTAAGAGTCTATTTACGAACCAATATTGCGCTCTCATCGATTGGAGAGGTCAAAATTTAACAAAATTTAACAGGAACTATCGCCTCTCATTCTTCTCTCGAGTTGCCACACGGAACGCCGTGGTGACGGAAAATAGTCTCTCGAGTGCAAAGGGTTAATCTGGAATGCGATGCAACTGCAAAAAAGCTACTTTAAATTTTGTAAAACAAAAAATTGCTTATTAGTTAAGAAAATATTAAAATATTTATTGTTTATAAATTAAATAACAAACAAGTATAAAGAATTTGATAGAACAAACATAGAAGTTAATTAAATAACAGAGATTAATACATCGAATTTTTTGTTGCTCTATCTTTCTAAGACTATAATAAGATTTAAGTATGCTGTTTAATTTGATTTTATCAGAGAGCTAAGAAATAAAACATTTATAAAAACGTACTAATTGAAATGAACTATTCTAAATAATTTTCAGGAACCTTTTATCCTTTAACAAATTCAACAAAAAGTAGCTGTGAATTGCAGTAACAGACATTATATAGTAAACATTTATATGTAAAAGTTCATAGAATACATTTTACTGCTATCACATAAAGCATATAATTATCAACAATTATCTATAAGTATAATTTTTTATAATATACGTAATAAGAATAAAATTTTTGGTCCATAGGATTTTGTTTCTTTAACTTACAACAAAGGAATAAAGAGGCGTATGACAAAACATAAATTTAACACGTTGATGCCGGCGTGCGCCATCGGTGGGTCACACGTATCTGTCCCGTGAGACGACGTGCACTACCGATGGGTCGCTCGAGTTTGTTTGTTTTGTGTATCGCGATGGGTCGCACATTTACATATTTCACAAAATTATTGATAGTACAAAATAGGTTTGTATTATTTTATTTCAACATTATAACACATCTGTGATTTTTGGAAGTAGCTAGCATACATACTGGCCTTTTGTCAGTCCATTTTAAAAATTTAACGTAACCTAACACTATTTTCGTCGTGTATGTTCCTTACCGTCGTTCCTGCCTTACCGTCGTTCTCCGACGAACACGCATAACTATTTTTTTTTCTATACGGAATTGAAAAATTTGTTGATTCGCGCTATGAACGTTTCTTATAGAAAAATCAAAAAGAGTACAAAATTAGAGTCCCGTCAGCTTTACTTAACATTTATAGATATATGCAAATTGATATTGCCAAACTACTTGTATATCAATGTATTGGTCGAAGTACATGGAATTCATCGAACCCAACAAGAATCGCATAGTTTTTGTAATTTTCCTATAAATTGAGGCCAAAGTTGAAAAATTGTCAGTCTAATCCGACGCTACGCCGCCCCACAAAGCAGACGGTGCATTCGGGCGCCGCCTCACAGAGAAAACCATAAATATCGGCGCCGGCGTCAACGTGTTAATTCTACAACATGTTATGAATGTAACTCAAGAAGCATCAATTTGAAGGCTTAGCATAATTATTAAATTGCGGATGTTTATGTAAATTGAAATTTTTAAAAACACAGACACAGAACTGGAACCTTACACATAATTCATTCTTGCATCTATAACCGCCATTTGCATGATGGCCCTACTTTAAACGGCCATTCGAAGGCATCAAGCGGCGTTCAACTGGCGACTGGTCCCCATCACCGTGCGCGGTCGGTCGTAGGTGTAGTAAATGACATCCGAATTCTTCATGGAGTTTATCGAAAATTTATTGTTCAAAACGATTGCTAGACAATGTTAGTTCGCAAACATCGCATCTTACATTCTTTATAACAGAGAAAAAAGTAAAAATTATTTATTTAAAAAAAAGTTATTTAGACTAAAATGGAAATTAAATCGTATCATTTCTCGTGGAATTCTTTAAAATGGTCAATACATAATGGTACATCGCAAATATGGCATTTAAAGACCGTTTCTCTGCGAGAACGTTTAGATAAGCATGCAACGCATCGCTTTGACGTTCTGTTTCCCTTCGCTGCAGTTGCACGTACCCGAATAGGAAAATGCCTGTCAGTATATCGCGTTATCGAATCATTAGGCGTCTCACTTACTTTTATATTTGGTAAATAATTTCTCCGGTCAATTGTTGTTGTTGTGTAGAAATATGAAAAGCTCGATCCTTTTTATGATTTTTAAAAATTACATAACTGTTCAGTAACATCACGTTTATGAAGTAAAAAAATATTTTCTTACAGGCTTTTTTACATCTTTGCATAGTATGTAACTTACTTAACATTTGATCGTCAACATCAACTCCATCCATATTCTAATTATAATCAATTACTATTGTTGGTTTTATACATTTTTATCCGGTATATCGGTTTGTCTTCTCTGTTTCAGCAAATCCTAAGCTAGGCATAGTTGTTAGTAAAACGACATCTTTTTTACATACATTTTTTTTACATAGAAGACAGTCGCAGATCGCGTAATAATCCGCGCTTGGATTCAAATGGGTTCAATTATCCATAAATATATAAACATCTGCAATATAGTAATTATACTTTCAGTAACATTAATTTTCAACCGCTTAAACCATATATGTATAGAGACTCTTATGAAAATATATCAAAATAAAATATAAAAGTATGAATTTTCTTTAATATTCGCACATAGACTTATTTTTGTAAATCCTTTTCTATCAATCCTTTTTTATCAAGCCACAGATCGTATTTATGACGTAAGTAACGTAATGCATCTGGTTCCTCGTACTTTTTATTTTCTTGTTCTTGTTTCTTCTTCTTCTTCTTTTTCTTGTCAACAGGTGCCATTTCAATTGTCTTAAGTATCACATGTGGATTTTCTTTGACAAATTCTGCAATTTGCATGAATGGTGTATCCTCCTTCTTGTTGGACTTTTCGTATTCACTACGTTTAATGCGGATAAAGTCTATCTGGCTTTTCTCAAATTGATGTATATCATTCATAGTCGTCCATTCTATATTATCTAGATGCTGGCTGTTTTCATTATTAACAATATATCGATGAATTTCACCTTTGTCCAAATGACAACGATAATAGTACTTTTCACTGTCTTTCTTTAGTGAAAGAGTTTCCATATACTCCGTCATCAAATATCCTGTCAGATCTCGTTCATCATGAATTTTATGAATATCGGAATCGTGGCGTACAGAACAAAGACCAATGTATAAGAAATTAGCGTATACACACTCGGTACTAAGCTCTACTTGGCCTTTGTCGATCGTTCGTCCTAGAGTAGCATGATATGTCAGCGTATATGGACGTAAAGGAAATTGAGATATATCATTTTTATCATGTATCATACTGGTTTGATATAACCAATTACGATAATCTGGTAAAATCTGATAATAATTAAGCTTAACCCGTCTAATTGTTTTAACGCGATTTTTATCGTTTAAAAAACTGATTTTCAAACCCTCAATTTTTTTGTTTTCAAACAGTATATCCTCCAAGAGAACAGCATGATGGACACCTGCTTCAGTAACGTATATATATTTGTATCCTGGTACTAACAGCAAGGTGGGAAAATATTTATTTTTACGACTATGAAGAGGAAGCTCGATATCATCTAGTCCAAAACGAAATGGTACTTCATAATACGTTGTGCCAGTCGACTTCAAATGTTCAATGAAGCGATATAAACGTCTTGTAATGTTGCGATGAGTTTGAGCAATGTAAATAGTATCAAAATTTTCTTCAGTGAAATATTTCGGTCGAAACTGAGTGTATAAATGATAACGTAGTTTATAATTCAACGGAACGTTCCCAGCAGGTTGTACTTGCTGCAGAAGTTCATAAAAACGTGCTACTTTCTTTTTAAACTCGGTATCACATATTCGCATGTTTTTACTTAAATTACTTATTGTCAAGTCCTTCAATATCTGAATAATATAATAATTACTTTCCTTATGAAGTACAGATTTATTGATAGGCTGTAATTGCATAGCATCCCCAGCAAAAACTAAGTGCAGGTTATGTTTAAGGGACAGTATGTATAATAGAAGCAACATGGCCGGTGAGGGTATAGTGTATATGTCTAAAATAAGAACGGATGTGTCTTCAGCGACAAACTTTTTAGAGTACACGATTAGCTTATAAAGTTCTCGAATCTTATCTTTATCGATCGTTCGAAACATTTTCAGCGCTTGATGATACAGTAGATCGAAATGATGCATACAAAAAGATACAAACGTGTACGATTGTATATTCTTCAAGGAAAGTTCACTTGCCTGGTCTTTGCGAAATATAATAACCTTTACCGGTTTCTGGTACTTTACAGCCAAAGTGCACAGAAGAAACGTTTTACCATTTCCGCTTGGAGCATCGATCGCGATAATTGACTTAGTTTCTTGCTTTAATAATTCGCATATATCATGGTACGCTTGCTTCTGGTATTTGTTTAAGTTTTTCATATCTAGCTCCTTCTCTTCTCCAGTACATCCGGTACAATTGGATTGACCGATGCTCAATGAACCGAATTGTTTTTTCAACTCTTGCACCGCAGCGTCGCTCATTCTGTTACTTCACATTTGCATGTCGATAAAAAAATATTTCTCTATTAATATATACTTCATAAAATTACAATGTTTAAGATAAACATTCGAAGAAGAAGATCTTTCTTACTTACCCTTCTAAATAATTTTACCCGCTGCTTTGTTTTCCTTCTTCGGATGCTTAAAACATCTGCAAGTATAACACAATCGTTAGATCAAAATCTAAAGCGATATTAACACTTTACCAACCGATAGCCTATTAATCTTTTTGTCACCGACTTTTTGTCGCCGACAATCTTTCTCATTATTTGAGCAGTACTTTGTTATTTAGTACTAAGATACCTTGCTCAGTTACGTGAGTTGCGTTGCTTTGTAAGCTCCCACAGTTTTATAGCAATTTGAAAAACGTACTGTTCGCGATGAACAAAAAGAATGGTATTAGAGAGTCTAAACCGAAACAGAGCTGGCGCCAGGGAGAATCTGCGCCTGAGATGCCGGTCGGACGTGCGTACGTTGGTTGAATCGCTAGCGGTCGGTAAAGTATTAAGTATCGAATATATAGATATTTTATGCCTCGTATCTAAACCATTATAGATTACTTTCTCGCATTCTTTTTGTCTTCTTAATTTTTTCTCTTAATTACACATTATACAACTATTATAGCAACAACATTATATTATAGCAACTATTATACAACATTATAGCAACTATTCAGTACCGATAATAAATTAAGCGATAATTTAATATTCTTGGATATAAAATGTCAGTGATTATCGAATGAAAGACAAAATATTTACAGTTATATGAATTGTCGTACGAAATTAAAGGATCGTTAAATTTTCAATGAAAAATTGTCAACATTTAAACAGTTACAGCTTCGTTAAAAAATTTTACTACGACAACAGTTGTTTTTACCTCGTATAACCGAAAAGGAAAGCGAAGGTACTTCTTCTTTTCGAAAATTTTACAAATTCAAACACCTTTATGGGTATTGCAATATTATTTTTTTATGATCGAAACCACTATGTACCTGAAGATCAAATATTTACCTTCCTTCTCTTTACAACGACCTCTTAAAACTTAATGTACGACTTTTCATCGCTGTTTTATTGAACTTTGAATGAAAAGTATGCCGTCAACATTAGCATAATCCAAAGTATATACCACAAAGCCCAAACTATAATTGTTATATCTCAAAATTAAAAAATTATAATATAAGAATTAATATCTCTGTTTAAATGATTTTGGTTACGAATAATCATCAAAAATGATTATTGATGATAAATATTTTTGTTGGTTACGAATAATCGTTACCAATGATGAATATTTTATGTTAGTGGTTACCGATAACTATTATCGATGACGCGAATTCTTTTTTGTTACCGATAACCGTTATCGATGACAGGAATTTTTTTTGTTATCGATAACCTTTATCGATGACGGGAATTTTATTTTGATTACCGCTCGCCATTATTATCGACGAGATACAAAATATATATGACACTAAATGCTTTTTCGTATCCGACATTTTGAGGATTACCCAGGTAGTACACTAATATCACAGACGACGAGTATGTTTATTCTTCAACAGTATAGGACGAACTTGTGGAATCATTCTGTCCCTTCCAATTTCGTGAATTTTTAAATATGTTGTAAAACTGTATATTGTATAGATAACCGTCAGTCGGTCTTAGTTTCCGCGATATTCGCAAAAATATGCCGGTATCGCTACAGTGAATTCTGCTTACACAACTGTAAGCATATGTGCGTGTATGCTCCCAACAACTAACACTGACGCAATATGTGATATAAATCAACATGTTCGGCAACTTCAGGCGGCGTATACCCAAGTATTGGTTGTTGGACGCGTACGCTGCCTTAGACGCATAACTATAGACAGAAATACATTGTATCTTGTATCTGCAGTTTTTCGTATCTCGGAAACTAAACGAACGGACGGTTGTATGCATAAAAAAAAGTTGTCCAAATGTTAATTTCTATAACATATTCGGAAATCGGAGAGGACGGTACTCCTCTATGAGTTCTGCAAAATTTTTATCGTTTATAATGGTTATTCGTAATTGGCACAGTTAAATATAATCTTCTTTAATCATTTTATTTTTTGAGAAATTTCTTTAAGTTTCACTGGTGCCTTCTATTTAAATACAAATTAATTTCTATTTAATAATTTCTCGCAAAAAAAAATCGGAACAAAGAAATAACTATTATTTTGCGGCTATATCACAAGAAGCTCACACAATTGAATTTGCACGTGTCGTGTGCGTGTGTTTATTGTTTAGTTCCTAGACTTCGCAATTGTCGTCCAAGTTTTAAGCGATACTAAGAAATCATAAGGCAACAATATTATTTACAATCGCATCAACCTCTATATATAAAACAAAATAATAAAAAAAAAAAAATATGTAGGTTATTAGCGACTTACAATTAGTTAAAATTATAAATTGAGATTTGTAATTTTTGGAAAAAATTGCTTTATTTACTAAGTTTTACATAATTATCAGAACCCAATACATTAAAGTGATTAGATGTAGCGTAGTATCTATGCAGAAAAATTGTTGATCTGAACGTGTATTTCCGATGATATTTTAGATCGCTAAAGCCGAAAATGAGCGTCATTTTCCACTGCAATGAACGATTTTGAAAATTCGAGTTTATGAACATTTGACAAACGTCTTAAATGTAGAAATCTGCGAAAGGTCGTGATCATACAGAGCGCTAAGCGTTACGGGGCAAAACAAATCCTGGCAAAGCCAATGCCTTTCTCCGTCGCTTGCCGCTCCGTGTGTTATCAAGGCCTAACCGGACATCTCACGGTGTAACGGCGTAACAGCTGCAAAATAAAACATAACCTAAACCTAATCCAATACTTATGCTCAGGATTTAACTGCATACGCAGTAACCAATACAGTAGGCTAAGAGTATCAAATTTTAAAAAAGGTATCATCAAAATCCACTAGAGCATTGATCAACAGATTAATCGAAGTTTTGTGTGCCTTATTACCGCGAAGAACGACTCCCATTTTCGGCTTCAGAAACCTCACGAACCCTTAAAAAGTATTATTCTATCCAAATATTTTACTGCTTGGATACTGTACTAGAGCTAAGTGATTTGTTAAAAAGGAATTATAATAGTATGCTTTAAAGCGTATATTCTCCAACAGTAATCGAGATATTTTAACATTCTTTAGCATATTTATAGTATTGACATTTAACTTTTACAATTATCCTTATTTGAGATATAACTCAAGAAACTTACTACTATAGTACATATAATATATTACGCATACAGGGAGGGGCGATAATCGTTGTACAATCGGGCAGGGTGCGATTCGACGTGCAAAAATAAAAACAGATTTGGTATAATATTTTTTCTTTTGAAGCTTCGTTTTCGAAAAAGTCGACTTTGAAGATTTAACAAATATACTTAAATTTGGCTAATGCTGGACTGCACATGAGTCAATAGTCGACAGAGGTTCAAACTATATTTGAAAATAAGTAAAAAATGGGCAATAAAATTTGTTCACGAAATACTCGAATTTAAAACAAAATAAATTTGAAAGTATATCATGTATGTGTACAGAAGCAGTTCGTAATTAAACATGTTTAAACCTTATTTTTTTTTTTTTTTTAACGAGGTCTCAAAGAGGTGAGAAGTCAGAAACGAAGCGTCATATGAAATAATTTTATTCTATATCCATGACTTATTTTTCACGTAGAATCACCCTACTCCACCCTGTATGTACCTACAATGGCAAACAATAAAGTGTATTTAGTTCGAAAAAAATATTCTCCCCTTCCGGAATATTAAGATTGAACTTGAACTTGAAATTCTTTAATATCTCTCATTACAATAATTAAGAGAACAAACAATATTATCTTGGAGAGACTATTTTTATATAAATAAGAAAATTTATTGTGTGTGCAGTGGGCGTAATGCGTGTGTTGTGCAGGTAGTGAGTGTTGTATGCAGTGTAGCAGTATTATACTGTTGTTTATTATTTATGTCACCATATTTATTACAAAATGTTACATACATTTGGAGAACTTTCGGACATGCATTTTTGTTACGATGCGACGGACGGTAATAGCACAAAAGCGCAACGTTTATACGGCAAAAAAAATAATGAGACTATGCCCAGCGCAGATATTTCACAAAATAAATCAGCGATTGCAGGGTACCGGTATGTTAAGACCTGACGGACGAATTCAGCGCGACAATGTAGAAGGTAGAATGCTGCACCATATTCAAGAAAATCCCAGGTTAAGTACGACGATTATTGCTGCTGAAGAAGGTATCAGCAACAGCAACGTATAGTCTGTATCGAAGAAGAAAAATCTACACCCATATAGGTTTCAGAAAGTTCAGGAGTTAAAAACAGAAGATTTTCTCACAAGAAGAAATTTTTGCAAATGGATGAGTTGGAAAATCCAACGCAAATCCTATTTCCCCGTGAGCATATTATTTACTGGTGAGGCAATATTTAATAAGTGTGAAATAACAAACATAATTTTTTTTTATTATTTAATTTATACTTTGCAATTTATCCAGCTGAACATTTGATAAATATAACAAATATATGTGAACGACTATTTCTGGGCATGTAAAAATTCACATGTACTAAGAGATGATTCATGCAGGATGATGCACCATCACATTCAACGCAGTGTAAGAGCATTTGACCAGCTGTTTTGGAAACAGGTGGGTCGATGGAACAGGACCTGTGCTTTAGCCTGCTCGGTCCCCAGATTTAAATCCCCTCGACTTTTACTTCCGAGCACACATGATGACACAATACGGCAAAATTTTAAGAGAAAAGTCAAGCTCTGTTTACAAGGAAGCAGAGGACATATCGAACATTTATTGTAATTTCATGTATTTTTTGTGCACACTCGCGGTCGAGACAATCATGACGCGTGTGTGATTTTGTTGTGGTTCTTTGCAGACGGGAGAATCACAGTTTACGTGTCTGAATATTATAGTTTTTCTCTCTACGAGTTGTAGGAGGTAAGCTTATAGCTGCTTAGATATTGTTCGGATTGAGAATGACAATGACAGTGACCTCCTTTCGTTAATGTAAAGAAGTCCGATCGTATGCATGGGTATAAAACGATGATAAAACCAATTTGGATGTACGAAATACCATTATGAGGAACAGCAGCAATGAGCCACATAAATAAACTAGAGTCGCTTCAATCGAAAATATTCAGAATAATACTTAACGCCCCATGGTATGTCAGAAACGACGATTTACTAAAATACCAATAACTAAAATACCAATGACTAAAAATACCAATGGTCAAGGAAGAAATTGGCAGTACGCAAAAAAATACAAGGAAAGAATGGCAATACATCCAAACCAGCAGGCTGCTGAAACAAGCAAAACCCACATAAAAAGAAGACTAAGAAGAAGGCATGCCACTGACCTCGCCAAAGAGATAGATAAACAAACTGGATGGTATCCCGCTAGGGGTAGTCACCACATGTTATTTAGCAATAAAGTTAGAAAAATTTACCAAATGTCCTGCTGGACGAATTGTAAAGCACAAATTAAAAAAAAAAACTTTGACTTTCGTCCATGCTGACGATTGTACAAGGGCGATTGTAGTATATTCAGAGTTACAGACGTAAAACCGTTGAAAACCGCTAGCCTGTGCGCTAGCAAGGTAGAGAACGTAGTATACGACACTCTCAAGTGACTTCGCTATCTGTTCCTAGAAACAGGGATGACGGAATTCAAACAATGGCTGCGAGCGTTCGAAGCTTCACGTTTTCACGCAAACGTAAGACGTGAAAGCCCGCTAAGTTCACACACCATATGAATTTAATTGTGCTTAATTTATGGCATACAAGTGTCTTCCCACAGCCAAGGGTAACAAAAACCAGGCGGTCGTCCCAAGCGTTCGAACTTCATATTTTCTTACAATAAAAGCTCATTTGTATAAACTTATGCCAATACTAATGCTTAACATCGAAAACTAGCTTCACGATGATATGATGATACGTTGAACAATATCTTAATATGAGTTGTAATATATAATACTGAGTTGTAATATAAACTAATATCAACTGTTATTTGTAATACTTCGTGCAGAAATTTATTACAAATACCGTTTGCTGTTTATCTATTTCTAAATATAAGCTTCCGGATACTTTTGTGACTCAACGATTTCTTGTTATTATTATTATTTAATTTGTACTTCACAATTTGTCCAACTGGACTTTCCGTAAATTACGTGATTTATCGATGATGTAAGTAATATATATATATATATATATATATACGTACTATGCGATGTATATATACATTGTGTCAACCATTTGACGCATGCGCTGCCGCAATCCACAACTATAGGCAAAATTCAATGTCTGATGCAGACAGTTTCTCGCGAATATATCGGAAACTAACCCGCTTCAATCCTTATGTGTATAGGAACAATTTATTCAAATTGTTAAGCTTTACAACATTTCGAAAAATCATAAAAATCGGAGTCTAGTCAGTTTTTCCTACGGTTTCAGCTAAAATTGGATACTATTATACTATGGTAGCTTATTAAATTCGTTTTGGCAACCTTTTTTATGTTAATCTAAAAAAATCTAAAGTGAATACATGTGAACTATCATCAAAAACTGATATAAAGCTTTTATTATAGCAGAGTAGCTATGTATATGTGCAAAATAAAAACTATGTACTATGATCTGCTATGTGATTGGCGGCACTGTTTCGGATTAACTAAGAGAATCTTTTCTATAATTATCAATTTATAATCATTTATGGTCTCCATTTACAATTTAGTTGTAAAAGATCTTCAACAGAAAGAAAGAAATTTCATCTCTCAATGGAACCTCGCATGGTTTCAAATAATCAAACACAGTGTCAGAAACTTTATTTTACTCTAAAGAAATGATAACATATTTAATTAAGTCTCTCCGCTATACATACCTATATTCTAGAATCACTCTATATATTATATTTCTTTTATTTTTATGTTGTTATTATTATATACCATGTAATCTACAAGTTAAAGCATTTATTACATTGTAAAGATGTTATCCTTTTAGTTTTTTTCCCGAATTCACTACTCACAGAAAATCACATAAGAAAATCACATACATATAACAAACTAATAAAATATTTAACTAAAATATTGAACTTGTCGAAAATAGCAGATCTTTCGTTCGTATCAAATTGAATAATTCACAATTAAATGTATTCATAGAATAGAATGAAACTGAACTTTTCTTTGGGGGAATTTGGTTTTATCAGGCCTATTTTATTTAGTTTTGGAAACAGCCAGATCAAAAGTAATACATATATGAAATCAAAGGAGAAATTTCATCTGGAAACAGATGCACAATTGGGTTAGGTTTGAACACGTAACAAGTTAAAGTAACATGAAAATTACGCTAAAAGTACTTGATTTAACTTTTTTTTATTTAATTATTTTTATTATTACTTTATAAATATTTTATTTATTTAAATCTTTATTTTTTCGTGGTAAATTTTTAAATTTGGTAAATTTTGGATAATTGGTAAATAACGTGATTTAACATACGCATAACTTTTGAACCGATATATTCCTAGACTTAAAACTTGCATTTTTGTATTCCACTCGTTGAGAATTAGACAATATAAAAGAATGTCAATAATTTCTAATCTCCCAAGGTGAAGTTTAACTACAAAAGTTAAGAGAAACATTATTGTATGTAATTTAAAATGATCGGTAACTACATACAAAAAGAACGTTCGAATCAGTATAATTTGCACCAAAATTTCAATTCTAACATATTCCACTAAATCAGTCATGAAATTTAATATTTAGATTGTTTACCGCTTGATCTAATTAAACCACAATTACACTATAATGCAAGTTGATCTTCGATTCTGGTCTAGCATAACCTCTCTGTTAATTCGCGCTGTTGACCGATAAAGATACATTTGTCAAATCGTATATCAGGGATTTCTCCGGGAATGATTTATCGTATCACATAATGATTTATCAGCAAATCAAGAATTGCCCTTTTTGCTATTATATTTTCATTTCAAAATTAGACAAGAACTAAACATATAATGATGCGATCGATTTAAATATTATTTTAACATTCAATTCATAAAACAAAAAATGTCATAAGAGTAGATATATGCAGTTGAAGATTTGTATTTGTTCCTAATACTAAAACATTGAGTATAAAAAAAATACATCAACATTTTTTTCATCAAAGTTTCTTTAGCTTTCATTAGTTTTTTTTTTTTTTTTGTAACATTTTGTAACATAGGTTATATAATGAGATCATGAAAAGCAGTTGTTATATAAAGACATAAATTTGTATCTCTGCACTTTTAATCACTTCATAATAAGAGAACTTTTGTATACAGAACAGAATAAAATTAAATATTATCTACTTACCGAACACTATTTTATAAGAATTTTAGTTTTATTCAACCAATTTGAACTTAATTATTTGCAGACACTAATCACATAAAGAAAACGATCAAAACAACAGTTTAACATAGGAATAAAAAGACGCAGGAACGACTCGAGATACGCGCTCTGCGAAGGTATACGGTTGAATGCGACGTAATCCTCCTCAACAAGAACGCATGCTGACTCAACTTCAAAGCCCTGAACGTGGCATTGCTTTGACGTCCTGGCAAATCAGATAGCCAGTTTGTCTGTATGTGTTAACTATTACATACATACTTCGTTAGTATCAAGAGATAAGAAATTTGTTCCTTTCACAGATCAAATTCTACTATGCAATCCATAGTTAATTCCTTAAAGTATGATCCAATAAATTAATTTATTCTTTTAAATCTTCGCGCATATTTTTTCATGCACACTAGCTAATCATTACTAAAATTATTGATAAAAATATACCATACAAATAAATTTATTCTGATTATGTTATGTTAAATTTGTTCTGATTATGTTTAATGCAGGATTATCCACTTAACACAGAACCCGCTCGCACGGGAACGTATGACAATGGCAACAGTATAACAATTCTCCCATGTTATTTACTACACAATCATATGTCGTAACTCATCTATGAGCAAGAAGTATAGTTATATGTATATCTTATAAACTGCAACCAGAGCGAAAATGGCAGTGCTTACGCTTGTGGTTCTGATTGTATTCGGACTAGTGCTGCACCACGCGGTCAAGTGCTGAACGTAACACATCATCATTACAAGATTTTATAAAATAAGGGCCCTCCCCGTTTGATTGCACGCTAGCATACACAAGAGCTTATTGAGTTCCACGTTGCAAGAATCTATTTAATTGTACGGTTCTACGAAAAAATTCATATCTACTTTTCTGTCCGAGATAGACAAATATGTGAATAAAAGAAGCGCGCAATAACTAAACTAATTGTAAGTTCCTTAAGAAAGACAAATTAATTGTCTACAATATTCCCTTTCAAATGATTATGGGTCAATGGAACGATGCGGCAATTTTAATATATTTTCCATATACCATTTATATTTAATATTAACTCTTGATATTCGGCATGTCAATTGTACTAGCATTGATATTTTTTCATCGTCGCATGGAATCACATTTTTTTTCTTCGTACGTATTGTTGATACGAATTCAACTGTTGTAAAATGTTATAAATTTGTCAGTTCCTAAGGAATCAAGTGAGCAGAAGTTGCTAGCTATCAGCTATTAGGTTGCTATAAACGCTGTAAACAAATATCGAATTTCTTATCTCTCACGATGCTTCTCAAATTGCCAAACATTACTGAATCGTCAAAACTCATTTTAGTCGACATTCTTTAATCTACGAGTGGGAATAGTAAACATGTGTATGGTAGGTTCATTTTATTTTATTTGATGTTTTAATTTTTTGACTAAACTTCGTTTCCGGGACCAATCTTTTTTAACTTATTTTGCATCTTCTGATAGTACTCGATGAATAGAAGCTATAATACATCATATTTCACACCAGACGTGTGATATCACATCTGAAATATAAAAGTTTTTAGTGTATTTTAGTGTAGCGGCACTCGACAGTAAACTTTCCAACAGTTTATGTCATGCGATGCACAACACAAAGACCCTATACCTGCGAACAAGATGATTGCCAGATGTTGATATATTCGTACCGAACATTTTTTAGCTAGCCTAAGGACCCGCCATAAACCTTAGGATTTATTATAGCGAAGGCCCTCCAAAGAGACAAACAGTCTTTGTCTATCAGTCTCTAAGTCGACCACCTACTACGGGAACACACGAGAAATCTGCTTTCTCTCGCGTACGACGCTTCCCGCTATCAATTTCCTCTCAAGGGCAGCTAGCATCTTCTTCCAACGGCCAACACTAATCAGCCAATAAACATTAACGTACATTTCCCTCACTTTCCGAACCAAAGCTTTTCTCAACGAATCCGATGATCTCGCATCCTTAGACACATCCCATCACAGTTTTCCTTCGCAGCAGCATCGTGACGGAAAGTCAGTCTGTTGTATCTAAACCTTCGACATCCCGTGCAATCATCGTCCGCACTCGTAGCGCATCTCGAATCATAGCTATCCGAGCTTTAACTTGTAACCGCGCATCGCGAACCGAATATTATCGCGAGTCTTGCGCCAAGTGTACCCATCAACATTACAGTTAATAAACATTTATTGTTGAATACATCTGAGTATTCCTTCCCAACCTATCACGACATACCACCTCATTAGAGACAAAATTCAATTCATAGACAGTCCGTGGATAAAAATCTAACCTATATTGGCAATTGTCGGCAGACATGCATTCACAATCAATCTACAAATTTAGACTCTGAAAAAAAAAAAAAAAAAAAAAAATGAAAATCAAGAATAGAAAAATTGTGTTTTCGGCTTTGTTTTTCAGTTATTGATAATTAAAAGTTGGCCAAAATATCTTCCTTACTCGAACGAAAGTAGGTTAACATAAACAGCGGGGATCCTCAAATCGAACGATACATGGACAGCAGCTTACCTCGTACATGTTGTACAGACAAAAATTGACATTTGAAGACAAAAACCATCCTGCGCGACGTTGTGCAAAAAAATATCGTAGATTACTTTATATCTATATTATTACATTATTCCCTCCTACTCGTTAAAGTCTGTAACGGCATATTGAGAACAGCCTCGTGGAATTTTCAAGACAGTAAAGTCGAAAATGCAATTTTTTATTTTTGATTTCCATTTTATTTTAGATTTAAAAGTCACCCCATAAATTCATCAATCATGACATTCCCCAAGTTGTTTCCTACATATTTATGTCGAAAACCTATTAGTACCGAAGAGACAAACTTTCGGAAAAATTGAAATACATAAATAAAATCATTAAATTAACTCGCTTTCAGTATTTTCTCGCACAAAAGCCGCCGGTACCATTATTCTGCCTATAATTATATGGCCTAGCAGTATATGCATTAGGTTGGTTGCCAGCCACTTTGCGACGGCCGAGTACCATGATCTGACCCAAACTTAACTTGTTTTTTGTTTATAGCATAGACAGTGCCGCACGAAAGAATTTAAATGCCCTTTAGAACATAACAATTTTATTAAAACCAAACCAAAACTAGAATTTTTTAAAGAGGTTAGAAGGATTAGTTGATTAGATGACGTGCGAAAAGAATTTTGAAAATAATTGTTCAGAATCATGTCCCTGACGAGATATCAAAAAATCATTGAAATCGGTGTGTGATAAGGACAATGATTATCAAAAATTAATCACGTAAAATTATTTTCTCCTTGAAACCATTCAACTTTTATCTGAAATATTTTTCATTAAAATCGTTATTTATGCAGTAATCAAAGTGGTTCCATTCACACGTGCCACACGTTGTATACATGCTTGCACTTTTCTTTTTCACTAAATCTTCATATCGTCAATGTTTTGTGGTGTATGTTGCATAAATAATTGTTATGATAATATGGATTAGTAAAGGTCATTTTAATGAGATTACGTTTAAATAATGTATAAAAAAGATCTCAGGAATTGATAACATTTTCGTCATGTTGTAGTAGAAAATATAAGTTGATAAATACGTTTTTAGTTGATGTATAATTGAACTTATCTCGTACGAAAATTTAACTGCTGTCGTCAAATCATTAAATATCCTAAAACGCGATGTAATACATACATATACATATACCGTTATTAGTGTAACCGTGTAACTACATATAATGTATGTCAGAGATGAAAGGACATCGGAGCCTTCCCTTTGGAACTTCGGGAAAATCCCTTAACACCGTAATCTAGATTCTATCATATCCGATTGTATTTGTTCGAGATTTGTGGTAATGAGCTTGGGCTCGAGGCGACAACCAGTCGCCGAATGTAGCCGCGGTCACGGGATGAACGCTTTGTCTAACAAAGGTATGGAGTAATTCTATAGCTCTCCTTAAAAGAAATATTTGTAGCGGCACGCGACAGTAAACATTCCAACGGTTTCGGTCCCGTGGCTCGCCACACGCAGACCCTATTCTTCGAGTAAGATGATTGCCAGATGTCGATGCGTCTCCGCAGTACATGTTCGGCTAGCTCGAGGGCCCGTTATAAATCTTAAGATTTAGCTAACTAAAGTCCTTCAAAGAGACAAACGGTCTTTGTCTCAACTACGGAAAGATAGGGGAGACCAATTTTTCAACGAGCGGCATCTCCCACTAGCAACTTTCCCTCGAGGGCGGCTAGCATCTTTTTCTAATCTCCGATATGGAGATTGACCAATTCGCATCTATTTTTCAACGAACGACGCTTCCCGCTAGCAACCTTCCCTCAAGGACGGCTAGCATCTTTTTCTAACCACCGACATGGAAATTGACCAATTGATAGCAACGTCAATTTCCCTCACTTTCGAACGAAACTGAACGAAGACTATCCTCGACGAATCCGATGATCTCGTGTCCTTAGACACATCCCATCATAGTTTTCCTCTGCAGCATCATCGCGACGGAAAGTCATTCTCTCGTGAGGTCGTATTAGCGAGTTACTTAGCGTCTGTACACTCGGTGGATATTCCACGTTTTAACAAAGAGTTAGTTTAGTTACACTTCCATCGTATCCAAGCAAGTCGACTACGATTTGGGCTTTGGAAGAAAGCGCATCCTGTTATCCCGTTGACCGCGGATTCGTTATTGAACCTAGGATCATTGTCACTAGTTTCTCGAGTATCTAATTACCACAGTTACTTGTCAAATTCTGTAATAATCGTATTTGCACTAGTCAATGTCTTTTCTATAGCATAACGACAATGTGTAATCCAAATGGAGATTCGTTTCACGCCCCTAACCCTAATTCTAATGTAAATCCGACATGTATAACTAGAGAGATATTTTTACCATAACTAGAGAGATATTTTTACCACTATAACTAGAGAGATATTTTTACCACAGATTTTTATTCCTTTCCTTTATCACACTTATCTATGACTTTATCAACTTTATTAGTTGAATTGAATATAATACCTACACTCATCGCAATAAATAGAATAAAAAGAGAAACGAGCTTCTCGTTTTCGGTAGATGATTTCATGTTCCTGCACACTCACGAAGATAATTATTCGCATTTTAATAAACATCATAAGCATCATTTTTTTATTTTGATAGGGATTTTTCATTTTTAACTTTACAT